CGCCCGAGACAAAAAAAATCAGCCATGAATATTTCCATGAAGTCTTACACCATATCTAAAAAAAATGGTTATTATACGCCTCTGAAAAGTTGTTGGGGCATTACATAATTCGAACGATATCCTTTTAAAAGCATAGGTGTCGTATGGGCGCCTGAAGGTGGTATTCTTCTAATCTTCAGGTGCTATGGCAATCTGATTATACCCAGAATATCCGTCGAGGAAATAATAAAATACCTTGTCCGCCAGACGATCAAGCATTTGATCGATGGAGGGGAGGGAAAATGGGCTTTCTTTGTCACCTTATTGAGCTTTTAGTAGTCCATGCAAATGCTCTAACCCATGATTGTCCTCGTTGTCAAAAGATCATCTTTCAAGTTTTTTACCATGATCATGCCATCTTTCTTCGGCACGCATTGCACTGGGTTAACCCATGAGCTATCAGTTATGGGATAGATCACCCCCAATATCGACTTATTTGATGATTTCTTTCATCGCCACCTTTTTATTATGGGGTTGAGTATTATTTAGGGTTCTACAGAATAACCATGAAAATCATCTAACTGAATCTTGTGCATGCATATAGTAGAGTTGATTCCCTACAAGTCTGCCATAGTCCACCCTTGAGCTTTTTATGTTGTGACAAAATATTCAACAAACTACATTCTTACTTGAGGGTTAGACTAGAAGATATTATAACCAGCAAAGTATTAGCAATACCTAGAAAAGCATATTTAAAATGTGATGGAAAAGGTTTAAGTTCCAAGGTAAGTGCATGCTGCAACAAAGATTTTAGAGAAACAAATTCATTAAAGTCAAAGGGTTCAAATTTCATACCTGGTCTAGCTTGAAGCAAGCTAGATTGTTCCACCTCTAATGAATATTCCTTGGACTCTATTTGCTTCAACTTCAGTAAGTCTCTCATCTGCCTCAGTTTGGAAAAACTCGTTGCAGTAAAATTTATGTACTCCTCCATTTGAAAAAAATCTCCATGGCTAAAATTTTCATGATCCTCTAGCTGAAAAATTTTCCATGGAAAAAAATTAACTCCAACTTCCTCCATTGAATCCATTTCTTCAAAGCATTCAAATTTTTTAGAATCATCAATATATTTAAGAGTGTTTAAAATATTGATTGTGACACTCTGATCAGTAACTCTCATCATGAACTCTCCCTTCTCACATTCTATTAAGATGCACCCAAGAATAATATGTGCATTGTTGTCGGCATCGCAGTCTAGAATGAGGAAGTTTGCTGGAAACAAGAACTCATCCACCTTGATAATGGCATCTTCTACTCTGCCCTTGGGACGAACGTGTGATCGGTCAACTAGTTTCAATATCATGATGGTTGGTCAAGCATTACCCATTCCAAGCTTCAAAAATATGAACTTGGATATCAAATTTACACTTGATCCCAAGTCACATAGGGCTCTCCCGACATAATTTTCACTGATGGAACAAGGAATAGCAAAGCTACCATGATCTTTTCGCTTCGGTGAAAGTTTACTCAGTGCAGAACAATATTCTTTCGTCGTGGCAACATTTTCCAATCTTTCCACATTTCTCTTCTTTGTGCGATATCCTTTAGAAATTTGGCATAAGTAGGCATCTAATCAATGGCCTCGAGCAGGGGAGACGTTAATATATAGGTTATCAAGGAAATCAATAAACATTTTGAACTGGATCTCATTATTATGTTTCTTCAACCGTTGAGGGAAAAGTAGTGGGGGTCTGACTTCATCTACTGCAGGTGGGGGTGAAAGTTTTACTGTGGCATTAGTTTTTCCTTAATTGGTGGAATGATTGGTTGAACCATAATTCTTTTCCTTCTACATAGGTAATTCCTCTTGAATAACAGGTTTAACTGGACCTTCAGATTCTTCTTGTACAATGTCGTGGCGAGAAATTTCTTTCTTTTTCCCCCCAAACTTATCTTCTTGATTAAGTTGGGTACCACTCCTTAGTGTAAGCGTACTGCATTGCTCATTTCCAAGAGGCTTAGCGACCTCAGTATCACTATGGAGGCTTCCTTGTTGGTAAGAATATAGTGTTGTGGCAATTTAGCCCACTTGGTTTTCCAACGCTCTCAAAGATGAGCTACGACTTTACAATAAGGTTACTTAGCTTTGTAAAAGTGTTTATTGGGTTTTAATTATTGATGAGTTTTCGTGCAACAAGGCCTTTGTTGAAGCCATGAAATTTTTTGTCGAAGCCATAAAATATTACAGAGAAGCTTCAAGGGAGTTAGCATTTGAGGAAGATGTTGAACCTTTGTTAATATTTTACCACAGCATCTGTTGATGCTAAAATTTGAATGTTCATAAATATTTTGTTGTAGCCTATTTAAGTTGATTGCATCATTGTTGTGAGTAGCTGGATTACCCCACAAAAAATTAGGATGCTAACTCCATTCTGGGTTGTAGGTGTTAGAATAGGGGTGATTGTTGTTTCAATTAAAATTGCCCACAAAATTGCTAGACTCCTGATTGTTAGGGCATTCACTATAATGGTGATTACCATGGAAAAAAATACATGCTGAGTTGTTAGGGCACTACTTGATGTCTAAACAAGTCGCACACTTCAAAGAAAGCACGGACGTGTTGCCTAGCATCTTCATTAGGTTAGACACTAAATTGGTCGATCAAGTTCAATATGTTGAACATCACCAGTATAAGTTTGAAGTAGGCTGCTTGAATTTTGGGTGCCACTATTCAAGGATTGAGATCATCAAGAATAGGAGTTAAGTGATCTTGTACAACACTTGGTCATGCAGCATTTTTTGGGAATATTATTGCCGCTACATTTGGGTATGCCAGGTCCTCCATTTGGTCACCACCTGGGTCTTGTAATCGATATATATTGTTTTGGGCACGCTGAGCACGTCGCCTTTGTCTGAAAGGTTGCTTGATTTTAGGATCAACGGGTACTAGTGGTTCTCCGATAGTTCTTTTGGTCATGCAACGACAAATCCTACAAAATAAATAAAGAAAACAAACAAGTAAAACAAAAAAAAATGTGACAAGAAAAACTTGCTATGGCAAAACTTTAAAATTTCCTTCAGTTGTCAATTCCCGACAACGAGGCCAAAAAACTTGATTGCTTGTAAATGTGTGTATTATGTCACAAAAATCTGTTCAATTATACATAATCGATATAAGTAATAGATTAGTGAGTGAGTATCGTCTTCACATGGATTGGGGGAATTCTTTAAAGTAAGTTGTAATTATGAATTAGGTTTCACTACTAATCCTAACTGTCTAAGTCTAATGATATAAACAAGGGGAAAATATGATGTCGCGGATGGTATTAACAAATGGAAAATATGTTATGGCAATACTTTTTTATGAAATGAAGAAAGCAAGATTTTTTGTGTAGTGGCAAGAAATTTATGCAAGAATAAATAATAAAAAATTGCTAAGGGAAGAAATATCTGAGTTCTCAATGTAGACTGGAAACCTCACACAATCAAGCTTATAATGGAGCATTTGGGTTGGATTTTCTACTTTAATAGATTATTTTATATTTAGGATGATCTATGTACGCTATGTCTATACTACCTGACAGTATTTACTATAAGTGTTCTTATGTTATCTCTAGTAAGGAACCTGATAAAACTATTACCAGGAGAATACCTCTTAGCGTGAACTATGACCCTAGCCTATCGATTAAGTGTTATCCCTTTTAGTCTCTTGAAACTCTCTCCTTATCTTTAAGGTGGATTAGAACCTCACCATCTCGGATTAGTTCCCTTGTTCACGTATATCTAACTCAACTCTCTCAATATTATGTATCAACTCTTAGAGAAATCGCTATCTCTCAATAACTCTTACAAAGACTAAGAATTTTATGTCATGGTATTTGATAATCTCTCAAAATCTCTTACAATGCTACGACGTAAAGTTAAAACAGATAACAAAACAATATAAAACATAAACATACTTAATCATCTATTAAACAAAAAATAAAAAACATCATCCCAACAAATCCAACACTAAATATATCAGTTCGTGGTGTTGCTAAAATCATCCCAAATCGTCATTAAGTACAATCCCATTAAAAATATAAGAAATGAAGAACAAGATGAAGAAAAACTCCCAACCAAGGGTTGCTGCTATGACTTTAAGACCACCACCAAGGACTACTCCAGCAAGCTAGTCTCTCTCGAGGGCTTACCCGCTACTCCAAAAAATCTCAGCTATGGAGGACACCAAGAAAGGAATAGAGAAGAACGGTGGAAAAGAAATTGTTGCAATCATCTTTCCAAAGCTTTTAGGGTAGGTAAAAGTGTCTCATTGGAATCATGGGCATCATTTCCTATTTATAGTGGGGAATTTCTAGGGTTTAGATCCATTTAAATGCCCTTAAATTCATGCCCAAAACGTGATATCATGGCACTAGCAGTGGTCCAAAATTATCAGCAAGGGTAGGGGGTTCACATGAGGTGCACTAGATAGTTAGTCGCACGGCGTCAGCTACTTTGTCTTACACTTCATCCAGAATTATAAGAAAAACTTGTTGTGGCAAACAATTCCTCACAATCATCATCATCAGTTTCTTTGGCCCTCACTTTAAAATTGTCATGGAAAATAATTCTCTCCTCGGTCATTTCCCATCACTTGCACAATCACAACCAACATAAAACCCCTCTCATGAGCAGCATCAGTTTTATCAAGAAAAACTAGCCGCGAAAAAACATTTCATCACATTCAATGAAATGCGCTAAATGCAACTAAATTGCTATGACAATGTCTTTTAGACAATAAATAACATAAGTAAAAAGACCCAAAATATAATCTTTTTTACGGAGCCCTGCCTGATGTCTTTATTGCTTTTACTACTACTATTGTTGTTGCTACTGTCGAGAAGTACAAAAAGGATAATAAGACAACACGAGGACATCTCCTAAGCCACATGTCAAAAAAGCTCTTCGACATATTCCTTGAAAAAAAAGAACACCAAAGATCATATAGGATACGCTCGAGAAAAAATATGGCACTGATAATGCGGGCATCAAGAAGTATGTCGTTAGTGAGTGGCTGAGGTTTCAAATGACTGATCACATTCCAATTATGAACCACATCCATGATTACAAAAAATTGGTCTCCAACATCTTTTCTGTAGGAATGCAGATGTTTCGAAGTAGTGCAAGCCAATGTCTTGATCGAGAAGTTGTCCAAGTCCTAGTTTGATTATTGCAACTCCCTCAAACATAAAAAAGAGGAACATTTCACTTGAAGATCTGGTGAGCCACATGAAAATAGAGGAGGCTAACCGGTTAAAGGATAAGGTTACTAACTTTATCGACAATTTATCCTTTAAATCTAACTTGGTTGAATATGGTGTTGCCTCATGATCTAAGTATAAAAAGACTGTGAAAAAGGTAAATCATAATAAGAAGACCAAGTTGCAAAAGGGAGCCAACTTCAAAAAGCTTGGGAAGCCCAAAGCAGAAGGAAAATTCGTCAAGTGCTATGTGTGAGTAAAGTCGACTACAAAGATTACTAATGCTAAAAGTGTTTCGATCTCCGTAAAGAGAACAAGCCACATCTGAACATTGCAGAGAACAATGTTGATTTCATCACAACAGTGGTTTCAGAGGTGAATCTGGTAGAGAATAATGTTGAGTGGGTCCTTGACATTGGTTCTTCTAGACATTTATGTGCAACGAGGGAAGTTTTCACCAAGTTTGAGGATAGGGAAAAAGGTGAACGTCTGTACATGGCAACCTCCAGTAGCTCTGAAGTGTTGGGAAAAGGTATGTTTTTACTCAAGTTGACTTTTGGTAAAAAATTAACCCTAAATAATATCCTGTATATACATGCCATGCGTAAAAATTTAATAAGTGGTAGACTTTTGAATAAAGAAGGCATTAAGTTAGTTTTTGAGGAATATAAACTTGTACTTTCCCAAAATGGTGATTATGTTGGCAAACTATTTTTAAATGGAGGTTTATTTGTCAAAGAAACTTCACTTAATGAAAATAAAGCTACCACTTCTGCTTACAATGTTGAATTCGTTGATATGTGGCATACTAGATTAGGATATGTGAATATTCAATTTTTAAAGAAACTGATAAAAATAAATATTCCGCCTAAACTAGACATAGCTAACAAATGTAAAATTTACATAGAAGCCAGGCATGCTAAGCCTTATTTTAAGGCTGCTTCCAAGAGAAAAATTGAACTGTTAGAACTTATACATATTAATCTAGAAAACTTTATAAACACTGATAGTAAAGGAGGAAAACACTATTACATCACTTTTGTGGCTCGAGATACACAAAAGTATACCTCCTAAGAACTAAAGATGAAGCTAAGAAATTTCTTATTTATAAGGTAGAAATTGAGAATCAGTTAGATAGGACAATTAAGCAACTTAGATCAGATAGAGGTGGTGAATATGGATCAAATTTCTTAAAATAGTTGTGTGAGAAGAATGGCATAATTCATGAAATTTCTGCTCCATATTTTACTCAGTAGAACGATATAGCAGAGAGGAAAATAGAACTTTAAAAGAAATAATAAACTAATTTCTTATAAGTTTTGGGTTGTCTGATAACATGTGGAGGGAAGCCATTATATCGGTAAATTATATTTTGAATCGAGTACCTCAAAAGAAATTAGATTCTATCCCATGCGAATTGTGGAAGGGATACCCTCTAAATCTGCAATAACCTCCAAATGTGCAATACCTAAAAGTGTGAGGGTGTCTGGCCAAAGTGGACTTGCCAGACTTTAAGAAGTCCACCATCGAACCTAAAACCATTGACGCAATGTTTATAGGGGATGCTATTTTCTTTGAAGATTGATTTCCAATAAAGAAACCTATATTAAATAAGGAAACACAAATAGAAAAATTATCATCCACTTTTTCTAGTGTACTTGCTAAGTCTTCTCAAGAGATTGAATTTTAGCCTAGAAGTAGTAAAAGAGAAAGAACCGAAACATCTTTTGGACCAGACTTTATAACTTTCTTTATTTTTGAGAAAATGATTTGGACACTCTTTCCAATCCTATAGCTCAAGTTTTTTTGTTAGATGAGGATCCTAAGTCATATAAAGAGTGTTGAGTTAATCGATCGATGGAATCGGCCAAGAGGGAGGTGAATTGGCAATTAAAATTTTGGTGGAAGCTTTTGTAGAAAATTGAAAGTAATTGCACAACGATTTACAGTGGTTTGACTTTCTCAACAAAGTCTACGTCCACTACCTTAGCTATCCACACTAAGGATTTTCCAACAAATTCACTAATTTGTTCTTTCTTTTGAGGCCAAAGATATAACATCCCTCAAGAATATACCCCAATTCTTGAGAACACTATTTTCTCAAAGAGAAGATTACAAATTTGCAAACTTACAAGAAAAACCTCACAAGGCAAAATATGTTTGCACAATTCTAGAACAAAGAATGAACACTCAAGAATAAATACAATTGAGCACAATAAGTGTTCTTGAAAGCAAAATGAATATTGAATGAAAAATAGGCTTGAAATGCTCAAACTTGAGCTTTGATGCTTTCTCTTTGATTCTCTCTTGATTCTAGTTGCTTGATGTTTCTTGTTATTGATCAATGGCTTCTAAGCTTGTTTAAATACACCTTCAAATGATTCTGAATGTTGGGGATGCTTAATGGAGTCAATATAGCCGTTTAAGTATGAAAATAATTAATTAAAGCAGTTGGGAGCGTCAGTGCATCGATACATACCCATGGTGCATCGGTGCATCAGTGTAAAATTCAAATATTTTGACCGTTGGACCCTTAGTGCATCGATGCATGGCTGGTGCATCGATGCATGAAATGCATTCGATGTTCAATTTAATTCATGGTGCATCGATGCATGGATTGGTGCATCGGTGCATCACTCTGAAAAATTGATTTTAGGCTTGATTTTGGTTCAAAATACTTTGTGAAAATTGTTTCAAAAATATATTAAGTATAAAACACAATTTTACACATTTAGTAAGGTTTGAAATTGATCTTAAAAGACTTGGAGTAATAATTTGATATTCGATTAATTGAATCTAATATACTTTAGAAAATCATTTCTAAAATCTTAAAATTCATTTAAACTAATTTGTTATATCGAAACAAAAATGTTTTCAACAAAGAGGCTATACGATCTATTGATGCTAGTTTATGGAAAATCGTTATCAATGATAAACTAGAATCAATAATATCTAATCATATTTGGGAATTGGTTGACTTACCTAGGGGATTTAGAAATATCTGCAACAAATGGGTATTCCGGAAGAAACTCAGACCAGATGATTCTATCTAGAGGTAGAATGCAATGCTAGTTGTCAAAGGGTTTGCTCAAAAATTCGATCTAGACTCGATACCTACTCTCCCGTAAAAAATATATCAATGACTTGTGCATTGTTTGCATTAACCTCCATTCAAAAGTGTACATCAAATGGATGTAAAGACCACATTTCTTACTTGAGATCTAGACGAAGAGATCTATATGGAGCACTCCCTTGGTTTTGAGGTGCCTAGTATGGAAGGAAAAGTGAGTAGACTTAATAAGTCACTTTAAGGACTTAATCAAGCTCCTAAACTTGTTGTGAATGGTTCAGATGCATGCGCCTATTCGAGGATGTTTGGTGATGATTACATCATCATAAGTTTATATGTTGATGACAAGTTAGTTTTCAGTACTAACATTGAGTCCATTAATAAAACAAAAGATTTCTTGTTTACTAAATTTGAGATGACCGATTTGGGTGAAGTCGATATAATCTTAGGAGTCAAAGTTACCAAAACTAAAATGGTATTTTCTTTAAATCAAAAACATTATATTGAGAAAGTGTTAAAGAAATTTAACAATTTTGATGTCATCCCGGTTCGAACTCCTTATGACCCTAGCATACATCTCTTTAAAAATAAAGGAAGTAATGTTTCCTAAACTGAGTATGCTAAAATAATTATGAGTATAATGTTCTTAATGAACTATACTTGGCTGGATATTTCCTACGGTGTGAGCAGACTTAGTAGATATACTCACAACCCAAGTCGTGAACATTGGGTCACTCTTCATCGCTTACTTAAGTATCTTAAGGGTACGATGGATTGGAGACTTGAGTTTGTTGGCTATCCTGCGGTTTTAGAAGCATATTGTGATGCCAATTAGGTTTCTATTAATGATGAGGTAAGCTCGATGAGTGGGTATGTTTTTTACTTTAAATGGAGCATCGATCTTGTCGAAATATATGCTAGGGGTTAATTATTTCATAGCCCAGTTTAATGGTGGTTTATGTTGAGATAAACCTGATGAAATAGCCTACATAAGAGAGAAGGATTAGCCACCTTCTATAAAAAAATGTTGGGTCGTTTTTCTAGTACACTTACTAAAATAATGAGGTAAGGTGGCCAAATATACAATTGTGTATATATATCTTAGACATTGAGGACTTAGGTCGATGAAGGGGTTAATTGTGTGTTATGAGTTTACCCCTATTTTAGAAAGTTCAAGACTAGTTTCACTTATCTTAGAGAAGGATTGTTCATCATTACAATGTACTAGTTCAAGATACGTTCACTAGTGCTTAAGAAACTAGCTCTATTATTGCTATTTTGAGAAGATTGTATTTTGAGTTTCAGAAGAATTCTTTCGCATGGGAAATACCACTGTCTTGGTTATTTATAATGTTCATTATTCCCTTCCTTATTGAGTGATCGAGAACAAGAGGCAGTCTTGCGCATCGCCGTTGTCGTCCGTCCATCTCAGCTCGTGCTCGTGGTCAAGGTTGAAGTTGTGGCTTGAACCAATACGTGTCTTTGACACGTCCATGCGGATTCTATATTTTTAAAGAAAATTCACAGAGAATTTAAACAGACAATTTTTTGAAATTAATCTGTAAACTTTAGAATGTACCTGGCCAATTTTATGTCTTTGTTCAATATAAGAATTGTTCTGTTAATTATGTCAGTTACAAAAGTAACTATAGGAGTTAGAAATGTCTGAGAATTATACAATGTATCTGGACACTCCGAGGGCCAGATTCATATGTTTAATTCAACAATTTCATATAAATAAAATCTGGCTTTATTTTGATTTTTATTGGATTAGTTTACCCCTGATGTACAACCTATAAATATAGAAGTATTGCTAACTTCTCAACATACAAATTCACTTAAACATCTCTCAACACTCTCAAAGTTTTCTAAGTTTCTAAATAATTTTGCTGATCAGAGGAGCATTACCATTGCAATCCACTCCGATTTTGGGTGTACGAAATCTTAAATCGACCGTGTTAACCTTGAGGGATAATCCGCCTAAAGAAGCGATTACAGCATCGGTACGAATTTATTTTTATGGCAGTGATTTCACCACGACACGATTTCAGATGATTAGATCTTTAATTATTGTTTATTGGTCATGTCAGTGCTAACGTGTAAATTTTGTAGTATACATTTCCAGCACAATTGAGTCAATTTCGGGCAATAAGCCTATGTTATGTAATTTACAAGGTGGTCACTAAAACACTAATGAACAGACTAAAACCTTTTCTATCTGAGTGGATATCAAACAACCCAGACAGTTTTGTACTTGGGCATTCAATCATAGACAACATAATTATGACCCAGGAAATTGTTCATTGTATGCGGAAAAAACAAGAAAAAAGGGATGGATGGCTACAAACATAGATCTAGAAAAGGCCTATGACATATTAAAATGGGCATTTATTGAGGATACCTTAAAAGACATCGGCTTATCGGATGAGATGACGAGTTTGATTTTATGATGCATTTCCTCCGTCACTACTCAAATCCTATGGAATGGCTCCATGATGGAAGTTTTTAAGCCAACCAAAGGCATCAGATTATCCCCTTACATATTTGTCATGTGCATGGAAAGACTTTCCCAGGAAATAAGCATAGAAAAAACTATGGGCACTTGGAAACCATTCAAAACATCAAAAGGAGGTCCCAAAATCTCACACCTGTTTTTGCTGATGACATGTTCTTGTTTGTTGAAGCATCGATGGAACAACTGGAAGTAAACCATAGAGTTCTTGAGAAGTTTTGCAATGCTTCAGGCCAAAAGGTTAATATTGCAAAAACTAATATTTTCTTTTCAAAGAATGTTTCCGAAACCTACAGAGAACACATTAGCGACACGTTCAGATTTAAGGAAGTGAAAAACCTTGGGAAATATTTAGGAGCGCCATTGATACATGGAAGATCCACACGAAGCTCCTACAATTATCTAATTCAACGAGTCCGAAGCAAGCTGTCCACTTAGAAGGCAACCAAATTATCCCTCGCAGGTAGAATAACGCTAATAAAGGAAGCTTAATCTACTATCCCGTTTTATGTTATACAATCGACCATGATTCCGAGTGGGGCATGCGATGAAATCAAAAGAATCAAAAGGGGCTTTATATGGGGAAACACGAGGAAAATATGGGGTGCTAACTAACCCAGTTTTGAGAGGAGGTCTAGGGCTGAAAGTGCTAAACTGCCAAAACAAAACTTTCATAAGGAAAGTCGCCTATCAATTACTCAGGAACCATAACCATCTGATAGTACAACTCCTCAAATCAAAATACCGATGGACTGGCACAACATCAGAGCCACTGGAAAGAAGAAATTGCTCTAATCTATGGAAAGTTAACAACAAACTCTAGGAAGGGGTTCAAAGTAACGTGAAATGGAATATCGGAAACGGTAAACATGATTTTTGGGAAGATCCCTGGCTCAATGAAACGAGACCTCTACTCCATAGGAAAATCACTAGCAATCGAACAATTCCAGAATGTTCTATTGCATCAATGGTAGACGAGGACGGTGAATGGAGATGGGAAGCCTTTGAGCAATTACTACCACATGAAATCCTCCTTCGGATAGCTACTTCCAAGCCCCAAAAGATGAGTTCAACGATAACACAATCGACTAGAAAAGAAACCCAATAGAAATTTCACGGTTAAAACAGCTTATGATACTAGGGTAAAAAATACTTTGGTAGATGAGGAACGAGTTTGGTCTTCCATAGCCAAACGCAGGGGGCTACCACGTGTTAAAACATTCCTGTGGCTAGTAGAGCGCGAAGCTCTTCTAACCAACGGTGAATGTGTGAGAAGGCACTTAGACGCAAATGCATGGAGTAAAATCTATGATAATGCATTGGAGGCTGTAGACCACATTCTACGTAAATGCATTAAGGCAATTTTTTTTTTGAAAAACACTGATTACGAGGGAGATGCTAGACGAATTTCTCTCAATCCACATAAAGGAATGACTACTCAATAACATCGAGCTAAAGAAACAATATGCAAAAGATGGAGCAGATTGGGATCTCCTGTTTGGAGCCATTTTATGAAACCTTGGACTCATAGGAACAAGATAACCTTCGAACCGGAAAGCATTCAAAGGGAATCAGTTCTGGAGAGGAGTAAACGACTAGTACCAAGCATAAACCTGGCGAAGATTACAGGGAGCATCAACCAGCAAAGTACGGCTACAGTAGTACGTGGGGAAACTAGGCTAAAAAAACCCCTGAAGGTTGGCTGAAACAATACGGATGGAGTCATGAATCCATCCAATGGTAAGTAACGCATCATGCAGGGTTGTGTTTCGAAACGAAGAAGGTCGTTGGATACTCGGATTCTCTAAATCTATTGGATGCTGCACGATAATGGAAGCGAAACTATGGGGAGTTTATGAAGGTTTAAACGTAGCTTGGAACCTAGGAGTGCAAAAGGTGATTCTTGAAACATATAGCTTGGAGGTAACGAATATGCTACAAAGAAACGACGGGGACAGTCATACCACATTACACCATCACATATCGAGCCTATTAAAGAAAGATTGGGAGGTTAAAATTGAACACATCTTTCGTGAAGGGAACCGAATCGCTGACTGCGTGGCTCGAATGAACAGGGTTGAAGATAGAAGACATAAACTGTATGTAACACCACCAGCAGTAGTGCTGACGCTGCTCCAGGAGTAAGGAGGCATTTAGATGCTTTAGTTGATTTATTTCTTAGTTTACCAAAAAATATATATATAACAAATCATACTATAAAAAATTGTTTGAGGAGTTTCTTGTATCAGTTGAATGATTGTAAAATCTATTATACATAGAAGTAAACTTATAATTTTCTGTCGCAAGATAAAAATTTAAGAAGTTATATTATAACTTAAAGAATATGTAAAATTTGAAAATTTTAGACTAAATATTATATATATACGTGTGTGTGTATATATATATACATATATAATTTTAGATGTACACACACCTCAACACTTTGATTTAACACATTAAAACGGTTCAGAACACTCCGTACAACAGTAACAATTTCATTTTTTAGTTTTTATAGTAAAATTACTCATATTAAATCCTTATAAATAATGATATATTACAATAAATTTAACTTTTTAAGATGAAATTTTACGTCTAGCAAATCCTTGTAAATAATGATATATTTCTATTAAAAAAATTAACTTTCAAGTTTAAAAGATTAACAAAGAATACAGTAAAATATTTAAATTATTAATAAAAAATTAAAAATTAAAGGTTAAAATGATATTTTTCGAGAATAAATGACGATAAAACACTTTCGACCTTTTTCAGCATATAGATATAAAAATATTTACTTGAATTTAAGAAAATTGAACCGCACATTCAAAAACATAGTTATAGTTAATAAAAAAAACAAAGTTATAGTCTTTCAAAAAAACAGAGACAAAGTTATAGAATTTCAAAATTTCATACTATATTTATAATTAAAAAATCATAATTTTGTTACAAATAAAAATCATATTTCACTTTTTTGAAACTCGTTGTTTAAATTAATAAATTATTTTTTTAAAATTTATATTTTAATTTCACTACTTTTATTTTCTTATAACTTAATTTCAAAAATTACAAAAGAAATTATATCAAAATGATTGATAAGTTTACCAGTAGTATTTTTATCTACCGATAACTTATCTGATTACTATAAAAATTATCCTAATCCGAATAAATTTTAAACAAAATTATTTTCTTAATTTGTATAACAATAATATTTCATTTATTTAAACTAAAAAGTAAAATAAAAAATTTGTGTATGGTGAGTTTTAAATTTAAGTAGTAGTTGTACTAATATAAGTTAATGAAGAGGTCAAAGCCGAGATGCGAAGATCAAGGATATACCAACTGTGCTAGAAATAGAGATGCAGTTGCACTGCAGGGTAGCATTACGTTTCGTCTATCTTTTCTCATAATCACTTGATCTCCATATGTGAATCCAACATCTTTGGTACAGCCAGAAGCCTGTCATTTTATTGCTTATCATCCAAAAACCACACAAATGGTCAGCTCCCTTCTCCCCTTCTTACAGATATATTGTGGAAAATATTAATTTTTACTGAAACTAAGCATGAGAGCACTGAATTGTGTTTATTGCTGGTGTGTTGGTAGGGTTCTTGTCCTTCTATTAGAAACATTCTCCTTCTGGATTCCGAGGGGCATCGTGTTGCTGTTAAATATTATTCAGATGACTGGCTGACTAACAGTGCTAAGGAAGCCTTTGAGAAAGCTTTGTTTTCAAAGACTCAAAAGACCAATGCTCGCACTGAAGGTAAAAAAGTTATAATCCTGCTATTTCCCATTTTCTTAATCAATGTAAGGGGAACTAATAAACTTGAAGAACTGACAATTGGTAGGTTGATTTGATACTTCTGATCGGTTCTCAGAAGGTTATTGCATTGAAATCATTTTGCATTTCGTTTTACTCTTTATTGGGAATACAAGATCAGATATCTATCATTCAATGACCTTCCATAATGTATAACCATTTCTACTTGATTTTGGTGGTGTTTCCCTGTTTACAGCGGAGATAGCCATGTTTGAGAATCATATCATCGTGTACAAATTTGTTCAAGACCTTCACTTTTTTGTTACTGGGGCTGAGGGTGAAAATGAACTCATTTTGGTTACTGTTCTTCAGGGGTTTTTTGATGCAGTTGGCCTTCTTCTAAGGTTTTCATACTCACTTATTTATCATATCTTTGTACATGCTTATGGTCATATTGCGTACAGCTTATTTGGCTCCTTTTGGTCCAGGGGGGCTGTGGATAAGAAAGAAGCGTTGGAGAATTTGGATCTCATTTTGTTATGTCTTGATGAGATCGTCGATGGCGGGTAAGCAACATGATTCATTGTAGTTAAAGTTTACTTTTGTATAGAAAACATTATTTATTTTTGTTTGCTAGTCAAGGTCCGCCTAGTTTTGAAGCTTCAACTTGCTGCCATATGCTACTAGTACACATGAGATTATAGGATAAAGAAAAGTGGGCGAGGGAGAACATTTGATGGACTAGTTTATATTCAATGATCGTTAACCTGCCATTGTTAGTGGAAATTGTAGTTACATATCTAATAATTGGATAAAAGGCAATCATTTGTGTCCGTTAACGTATCTATTCATTCATTTCAGTTTTATCTAGAATACCATCCATTAGTATGGATGCTAAATTGGCTTAGACTAATTATACAAGTCAAGAGAAGATAGTTGTAACACCCTAAATCTGATTGGGACTAAAGTATTACATTAAATTACCAGGGTAATTTTGATTTTCAAAATCTCTTCATTCTCATTTCAAAACATACTATATTCCGCGACATCAAAATATAAAAACACTTTTATAAAATCGGAGCTCCGTTACACATAATTTAAAATCAAAATAGCACAAATTCATAGTGATAAATCAAATACATGAGTAAGTTATCCGAAACCTCTTCATTCTCATTATTTTTTTTATCTTTTTCCCCTTTTCAGTATCATCCTAGAAACTGATGCTAGTGCCATTGCGGGAAAGGTTGCTAGTCATAGTGTAGATGAGGTTGCTCCTTTATCTGAGCAGGTGTTGTTACTTTGCTTCCTTAAAGAAGCATATAAAAATCACTTCACTTAGATTTTTGTTTTTAATGCTTCTTCCAACATTTCTCTCTAACCAGACAGACACAGAAGTCATATTTGCTTCTTGTTTTAATGTTTTGCAGACAATAACTCAAGCATTAGCCACTGCTCGGGAACATTTAGCAAGATCTCTCCTCAAGTGATGACAAGGAAAGAAAGCAAAGAGTTTTGAAAGATAATATTTCTATGGATTTACTAATTATAGTTGTAATCGTTTAAACTATTTAAACATTAATGCAAAATAATTTGGTTATTGATGGAGGAAATGGGTGTTGAGAATATAAAAACATTATTTTGCAGAGGATGTGCGCAACATCCAATTTTGTTCCATAAGCTGCCATCCGCAACTCAACCACTCTTCTAGACTGGTTTCGAATCATAGGCAGATGCACTAACTCTTAAGGAAAAATAAAAAATAAAACTTTTTACATTCCCGTTATTTTTAAAAAAAGAATATTAAAATTTTTGAACTCACATTCTTAAATTTATATCAACCACTATTTTATAATTAAATTGAGATAACCACCTAATTTAAGGAATATGTTCTAATAGCCATACTATTTAAAATTTAAGAAGGTATATTATAATTTAAAGAGCACGTAAAATTATAAAATTTGAAATATATACAATAAAAATAAAAAATATTTAAATATGTAAAAAAAAAATTTATATGTGCATTCACACCTCAACACCTTGATTAAACACATTAAAATTGTTCGAAGAATAGCATTTCCCTACACCCTCTCGGTGCCCTTTTGGTGCCTCATCAGTAAAAGGTTGACACCTGGATTCATTTATTAATTCTCTTAATATGGATCTCCATTAATTCACTCACCGTTTTGAGTCACCCGTTAACTTAAGAAAGGAGTTGAACTTCTTCGGTTCGTCTGAATCTTCTCTCAATATTTATCACATTTTTTTAAACAATTTTTGGGTTCCGAACGAATACCCATGGAAATTGAATTTCGGCCAAGTGACTAGGAGTTGATCGATTGCTACCCAAATGGAAATACCCAGGCTGATTCTTGTTTTGCCCGCTCGATTGGAAGTACCCAAATGAAAATAGACTCAACCTGGCTACCGGTGGCAATTACTGGAAAGCTATGAGTATGGCCATTGGGATTAATCTTCTAGTTTTACTCATATTGTTTAATATTTTAGTTCATATATATGAAAAGATACTGGAAAATGATGTGGAGTTTGGATCTCTTGATAAGCTGTCTAGTGGCTTCTTCAACTTTGCATTGGTAAGTTGTGTTTTTTCCTTGTCCTTGAAGCTGTTTTACTTTAGTATTGTTATGGAAAACTGTATGAACTTTCTAAGTTGTATTTGGGAACTGATTTATTCTCACAAGCTGCCTGCTACATTGTATGTGATTTAAGATTTAATTTAGGGTAATTTCTTTACGTTAAGAGATAAAAAGTCATCTTTAGTTTTCCTAGCCAACAAACCTGTTTTGTTTATAAATGGAGGATGTTTGACATCTGGTGTTATTCTTTGATTCGCCATGTGCTCTGACATTTTACCTCAGTTGTTATTCTCTCAAACAATGTGCTATTCTGGAATGTACTTTTGTTTTTATTCTTTCTTTTCATGCCTTTCTTCCGGCAGCGTCAACTAACCACTAGCTTTCAGATCCTTTCAATGGTGCTCCGGAAGAAACAATTAATCAACTTATTTGAAGCGCCTCAAGCAGCAAATGCAGGTAATGAAAGGAATTTTCATATTGGCAATGCAAAATTTTATAATATTTTATTGTATTCTGAATGCTAACTGGTCAAACAATTCAAACTTATTGCTTGACGTTTCAGTGTAATTAAATTATTGATTTCTAGTATATGATCAGGAAGGAGATGATATGGAGGTGAATCTAAATGGGAATAGACCTAAAGAAGAAGAAGATGACTTGGATGACATGGTATTTCATTAAAGCATCATCTCTTGTTCATGTCTCCATTATATGATTTATTCTAACTCATTTTAGTAAAGATAGGTTTTTGGGTACTAACACAAATATCATGTTAAGATTTTGCAGCTCAATTTTGCTTTGGATATCAAGATACCAACCAGGTCTTATATTTGATTCCAGCTAGGTGTTAGATTATAATCTTTCACAGTTATGTCATTTAGATGTTAAATGAGCATCAGATGTCAGTTAAAACAAAGGCGTACACTGTTGAGAGGCAGAGAAAGATCCAACAAGCAAGTTAAAACTCATCATCAACATCTATTAATGTCTTGGAGCTCTCACCTAATAGCTTTATTTGCATAAAATTTAGACAATCTTGTTGGTGTTGGTGAGACATTTAGTAACACCAAAAGCAAATTAATTTAATACCGTATGACTAGTGTCCGCTCGGTATGAGTACTATAAATGGGTGCGGATATATGTGTAAGTATACACAATTCACACAAGTAATATAGTGATAAGTTGAGTATCGTCTCCATAGGGAATTGGGGAAATCAAATAAGTTTGTCAAGGCACTTTACTTTTTCACCTAAGTAAAGTTAGTGATGGTATGTACAAATGAGAATGTTGTGGGAAAATGGAATGACTGATGTGAAAATGGAATGGTGGTAGTGTGGTTGCAATTGAATATGTCGTGGCAAGTTGGATGAAATGTCGTGGTAAATTCAATTCTGATAAGTGCAAACAAATGGAAATGTCAAGGCAAAATAAAATGTAAATACTGGATTTAAAATGTAGGACTTTAGCTTTCTCACATGACAAGCTGCTATGAGAATGAGGGATAGGAGTCACTGGGAAAATCTAAGTCTATTTCTTCGAATTGTATTTCTTCTATGCCCATCCTGCCCAACAGAGTCTACTAAGGTTGCCTATGCTATCTCTAGTAAGGGACTCGACAGATTAAAGATACCCTGGCAAAACCGATTGGCGTAAACCCCTGCAGTGATCATATTGGTTCAGATAACAGGATATGTCTCGGCAATACCTTTTTGCGGCAGCATTAACATCTAACCTATCATTCTTGCACAACTCCTTTTAGTCGAATGAAATCCTAACCTTATCTCTAAGGTGGATTAGGCCTACTTACTACCTAGAACCCCTTGTTTATGTAGTTCCTCCCTAGTTTCTCTCGAATACTAAGGATATTTTGCTAAGGTATTCTCTAGAACCCTAAAAACCTCCTAAGGAAAGGCTACTCTCGTAGCTCCTAGAACCTTAAGGCATTAAGTTTCATAAACAAAACATGTTAAAGCATAGAAAAACAACCATTCATTAAAATAAAAAATTAAACATCCAAGCAAACTCCCACCAAATAGGATTAGTGCATGGTGGGGTTCGAAATAAACAAGCACAAAGCAAGTTTCATTTGTTCCTTACAACCCAATAACAAAATATGAAAGCAAAGAACTAAGGGGAGGAGAGAAAGCCTTCGACGTGCACTGCCCAATGCTTCCCTCGGCCACCACGAACTGCTCCCAGCGAACTGGCTCCTTTTGGACGCTCAGGATGCCACTCCCTCAGGCTTGTCAAGGAGAAATATCATGGCAAGTAGGATTGACGGAGAAAGATGAGACGTTCTCTCTCTAACTTTTTAAGCTCAAATATGGGTGGAACCAAAGTCTTCAACAATGTGGCTTCATCCTCTATTTATAGGGGAAAACTAATCCTAGGACTTGGTGTTGAAATTCTTAGGAAACCCCAAACCATGCTTAAATCACGTGGGTATCGGGCAGAGCATAACAATGATTCAGTCTGGGTTGCTGACTGAGTAACCGGCATAATCCCGCTGCAGATGCCCAAGGACATACAGGATCTGCAGAGCAGGCGGTGTGGTCAGCAGGATTGGCTATAGCAGCGCCGACCCCTCCAGGCGGATCTTCGAGGCAGATGTGTCGGGCAAAGATCATGGAAAGTAGGAGACAGCTGGCTAAAAATATCTTCTTGCACTTGGCTCGCTTTTGAAATGCCAATCCAACTCAGTATTTTCATTCTGTTCAGTACTCTCCTTATGTCACGACATTTCCTTTTCTCTTTTCCTTTCTCTCAATTCTTACACATCATTAGACAAACATCTTCCCCATAAGGTAGCACTGATGACAAATTAAAATGCCGCGACAAACCAAATTCCACCACATGCAACTAAATGCTTCTAAATGCATCTACATGGTCCTAAATGAGCTCTTAAACATTCAATAACTTAAGTGACAAGGTCCCAAAATGTGACCTTTTACGGAGTTATTACACCCCCAAACTTAAGCTATTGCTTGTCCTCAAGCAATGGATAATATTAAGCAAAACAAAAATACCTTGACAAGTTCAGAAGCATAATAGTTTATGGGATAAAATTTCATCCCTCAGCACATATGGCTTCAACATGCTAGACTAGGTCGAGAAATCTAGTACTGTCCCCTAGGGAAAGATTCTTTGTGTGGGTGTGTGCGTGTTTGTATCCAGTCCATGCTTAAAAAACTTAAAAAATTTCTAAGCAAACTTTCTTAATTTGCCATGACATTTAGAAATTTTACTCCCACCTTATTTTCTTTTCTTTCATTAATTCTGCTACGATGGGAGTCAGCCTATCACACCTACCATCCCACACTCTAGGTGAAAGGGAGCATACATTCTACCCCCGAGCTAGTCAGGTAGAGTCATCCCGTTACTACTTTCATTCACTCATATGCCATGGCATAGCGGAGTATCCCTCTACAGATACGCCGAGGCATTTATTCATGACTTCATTCATTTATTTTTATTTTTTTCATTTTTCATCATTGTTTGTGGTTTTCATCATTCACATTTTTATGCCATGACATATAAGAATTCTCTTATAAAAAAATTCTAAGTTTCTCAAGCATGGAAAGCATACAATCGTGTGTTCAAGGGTTTCAAAGAAGCAAGTCTTAGAGTTGGTTCTATCATCCTCAACCAGTCATGTACATTCTATCCTAGCCATCAAGAATTCATCATCATCGAGCATCCTTAACTAATTCTAGAAAACTATTCAAACACTTACTAATGTCATGGCATATTTATTTTACTAATACTATCATGTAATGATTTGAAAACCCTACCTCCCCCAAACTTGAAAGAAGCATTGTCCTCAATGCTTACTAAATCTAAGGAAAATGAAACTACATGCTATGAAATGCAATACAATGCAAGGTACCTTGACTTCATGCGTGTGGTGGTGCGGCGGTCGTGTCACGGGTGCA